AAATTTATTTCTAGGACATTATACTAGAAATTTTTTTTTATGTATGTCCTTTAATGACTTTTTGCTTTTTTATCCACAAAAATATAGGATGTTTAAGGATATTCTTGCAGTTTCTGAACTATAGAAAATGTTTTTTTATATTGTTAGGAATATATTATGTTTATTTTTTGTTTCTTCTTGAAATATATATATTTATATACTTTAGCTACACCAGTATTTTGTTTTTAATCTCAATTCAAGAGGCTTCTAATGTCTTGAGTGTTATTTTTGCAATGCATTTTTTTTTCTTTTAACCCTTTAGATGCGTGTGGTAGTTTAGCCTCTAAACACTAGAAGTGTAATTCCATTTTGTAAAAAAGCTCAGCACTTTAAGGGTTAATCTTCTTAGAAAAAAGAAAGGCTTTGAAAATGCAGACATGTTTTACTTTATCAAAAAAAACTATTAGTCTTTTCTATCTTGAAGCCAATTGTGTTTCATCTCAATTGTTAAATTAGTTCATTTTCATCAGTCACTATTATTATGCTACATCTAAGCTTCTCTTGCAATGATTTCCCATTGGCTAGGTTTTTTTTTGAACTTTCTGTTAGGAAATGATTGTAGAAAATATAGTCATTCAATTCAACAGATAGTCTGGATTGTATTTCTGTTAAATTTGATTGTGTTATTACATTAGCTTGAAATTTTTTTCCTCAGTCCTAAAATAAAAGTTTTATTATAATTTTAACATTGTGACTTAGCATCATGTTCTTGTGGTTTGTGATACTTGTTAACTGTAAGAATGAAACTTCTGCTGCTCATCCTTGTTGACTTAGGCTAGCCTCTTTGCTTCTCCCTTTGGTTATCCTCTCTCTGCTTCTCCCTTTGCCTTGTCTCTCTGCTTCTCCCTTTATATAGCCTCCCTCTACTTCTCCCTTTGCCTTGTCTCTCTGCTTCTCTCTTTGGTTAGCCTCTCTACTTTATTCCTCAGTGGAATAGCATTTATTGTAATTAATTAATTAATTAATACTTTTTTTCTAATGAGATGGTAGTCAGCATAGATTGTATTTCTTTTTTTCATTGATCCTTTGGAGTTTTGTCTCTATCAGAAACTATTTTCATATCCTGATCTTTGTTTTGTAATTCAAGTTTTCTTTAGACTTAGATGTATACAGTCTTTTTTTTATTAGGATAAATCTATTAGTAAATCTATACCAACCTTTATGCAATACTAGATAAAACTGCCCATCTTCTATTCCACAATTGGCCATTATAAATAAATATTTTAAGATGGCTAAGTGGTTAAAGTGCATGGCTTCCAAACCTGGGGTCCTAGGTTTGAATCTGTGAAGACTTGGATTTTGAGATTTTTAAAGCACCCCTGAGTCCACCCAACTATAAAGACAGTTGGTTGCTGTGCTGGCCACATGACACCCTACTCATTAACCAATGACCTTAATGTCATCTACCCTTTAGATCTCAAGGACTGAAAAAGGAACTTTTTTTTATATTTTTTATCAAAAAAGAGTGTAGAAACATTATTTATATTTTTGTGAAACAATATATATTTTTGTTAAACTTAATTTGTTTTAGCCTTCCAGCTTTACCTATACCATTGAACAAGGCTTGGATATATGCAACACAAGTGTTCTCAGCATGCCATCCTATACTTACTGTTCCAATTTGTCATCTGACTTTTATGATGCAGACATCAAATCTTGTGCTAAAGATATTCATTTTACCAATTCAACCGTCTGGGCAAAAGTTCTAGTTCAGCATCTACAGAGATCATGTTTAGCCACTATCACTGCTACAGCTGGTTTGTGGGATACAAAAATTGTGGATATTCTCTGTACCAATAACTGTAGTGGTCAAGGAACATGCATTAATGGTATGTTATTGTGTTTGTTTTTTACTTTGTGAAGTAAAAAAATCATTTTCAAAGGTATTACATATTCAGTGAAAAAGTGAAGACAAAAGATGTTTCCCTAATCTCTTAGTTGATCATATTGTCATAGTTTTTTTTTTTATTATTTAAGAATTAATTAAGCAGTTCAGTGTAAATTTATTTTTTTCATTATTTTTTTTTTTTGCTTTGTATAAAACAACATGAAAATTGAAAAGTATGCAACATTCTTATTACCGGTACCAAGAGATCTAGGCCTAATCTAACTTATCTTGGATACAAATCTGATTTTTGTTCTAAAACCATAGTTTTTAACTTTCATGAATAAAAAATGATTTTCAAATAAAAGAGCTCAGATAAAAAAAATAGTATACAGAACAATAAGAATAGAGTTACTTAGGAAAAAAACATGATATATGTATGCATGGTTTTTAATGTATTTTAATGTCTTCAAAGCTACCTGTCAATGCTCATCACTTTACACTGGAGAGGATTGTAGCATTTGGAGAGACTCTCCACCACTGGTATATAAAATTAATGCCAAATGTGCTGTGGATTCAAATAACTGTAACAAATCGGAAATACTGGGTGACAATTTTACTGACAATGCTACCTGTGAACTGTCACCATTAAATGTAAGTTGTTGGTTTTTTTTGGTCAAAAAATTGTTGTCACTTTATTTCTTGTATTGACATTGGACTTAGTGCATAGACTCAAATACATTTTTGTCTCTACAGACTTCAAGTGCTGGTTCACTGTATGGCATGCAGATAAATGTTCCTGCAATTTATCGTTCAAAATATAGAATTTTCTGCCCTATCTCTGATTCACGAAGTTATTCTATTAGAGTGAAGAATGGAAACGGTGGTTTAAGCACTGACTCAGTTTATTTTGTTTTGTATAAATCCACCTGTGCAGTCTGTGATTTCACAAACCCAATATGTTCATTTTTAGTAAGTCATTTTTTCAAGCAATTATTTGTGTTATTCTAAGCTTGCTGAGATAACTTTAAAATAATATTATGAGATTACCTAGAACTTTTTTTATTTGAAAACAAAGCTGTTCATTTGGATAAGCTTATTCTTATGACTCACCAAAATGAATTTATTTGATAGTTCAGTTGCATGAAGTCAAGATTGATATTTATTTAATTATTACATTCAAAGCTATTATTAAATCATTCCAAGATATTTGATTAAATAAAAAAAAAATTTTCTCACAGAATAATACTTGTAATATTGATGGCACATGCTATTCTAATGGAGAAAAGAATCCTCAAGACTCGCAAAAAATGTGTAATACAAGTGTATCATCAAATTCTTGGGTTAATATGTTTTCAGGTACGTCTATATATCTGTTGTGAATTTTGAACTAGGGTGGAAACAGATTTTATGTTTCTCATTCATTGTCACTCATTATGCAGTTAAAATTATGAGATTATAACCAAGAACACCATACTTAAGAAATAACCTGTTTATGATTTTGATAAATAAAAATTGATCTAGATTTAAAATTGTTACAAACACACTGTTTGATCAGCTATTTAGATGTAATTGTTTGATCACCTATTTAGATTTACATCTAGGTAGGCTAGCTTTTGGCTTAAAGCATGTCTAAAAATTGAACAAACTGACCTGGAACATTAACAAAATATATATTTGTTGCTTACACTTCATGACAGAATTGCTTTTAAAGTTCATTAATCCATTTATCCTGTTCTCATGAATTGTGAATGCATTCTTGTCCGTAGCATTGTGGAATTTGTCTAAACAATGAAAACTTAATACTAACATATGTCGTAAATAATTTCACTGTGATTTATTATAATCAATTCAAAACTTCTTTGACTGGCTGAAGATTTAATAATTGGGTAACTTTCCATTTTTTTAGCCATTGGGATGTCTTCCACAACAGTTCAACCACGACTAGATAATACAGATTCAGTAGAATTTAACTCAAGAACTGTCATAATAGTCACTTCTTGTATAGCTGGAATATTGCTAATAGTTGTGATTGTTGTATCAATTGTCATTGTCATGAGGTAACTTAGTAAACTGACTAATCTAATGTTTTAATATAGAATTACATTTATTCTACTAGCATTCTTTATATATTAGCCTAAATTGAATTAACTATGATTTACTTCAAGGTAAATGTTGTTTCAGATGGATTTTTTTTTTAAGAAAAGAACTTCAGAAATAAATTTATAATAATTTAAATTTGTTATAATTTTATTTTCAATATTTAGAAGGCGCAGACTGCAGGGAAGAATGAAAAAGCTGAACACATCATTATCAGATGAAGATTCTATCTATCAACATGACAGACTCTATGATGGGTCACATGGTTTAAGAACAGACAGAAGTTTAATGTTTTATAACCCATCCATAGCACCATCTTACTATGAAGTTGGACCATATCAAAATGAAAATTCTGTACAAATTTAAGAAATTAATCCCTTTTTTTTTTAAACAAAAGATCATAGATTGTATTAAAAATAACATTTTAGGCCTAATAATAGCAAAAAATTAAGTTATTCTGTTCATGTTTGGTAGACAATAATATTATGAAAATTTGATGAGTAAACCTTAAACTGTTGTTAAAAAAATACTTCTTAATGAAAAATTAATTATTGGAACTTCTTAAGAATTGGTTTAAATTCAATTTTACTAACTAAAAAAAAAAAAGAAATATATATAGAAGAAATTATCCTTTCCCTAGTAAATAATTTTTCCAGACAAACAGAAGTTTAAAAAAAATTTGTTTTTATAGTCGACCCTGAAAGATATATTTAACAATATGTTCACAAGTGAAACTGTTGTTTTAGAGAAACACATGGAAATACAACCTATTCAATATATATATTTGTACCTGGAACAATCATATTTATATTAAAACAATGTAGGCAGTGCTGCATTGTCAGTGTGTTGACCACACGTTCATGAAAAACTGAACATAATATAGTATAGTGTACAGCACTGAAACTGTCATATGTATGTTTTTTTGTTGATTAAATCTGTAATGCATTCAACTTTGTTGTGCCTTGAATGTATGTTGTATATTTGATCCATTTTAATATGAATTTAGTATATACAAATTATTAAATGTATGTTCTATATTTGATCCATTTTAATATGAATTCATCATTTACAAATTATTTGTTTTATATATTTATTGCATTCAAGTTGTTATTATATGAATGTATTGTTTTTCAGTACTTTAATACATTACTTGTAATTCCCTGTTGTTGTTTTTTATTTTATAAAAGTTTTAAAGAAATTAATGCACAGGTTTAATTTAATGACATTTTAAAATAATGGTATAATTAGTATCAGGAGTTTTTCTTAAGATTTAAATTGAATATTTAGTATCCTTGGTAGTACCACTAAGACATTTTCTTCAATTCTGAGGATTTAAGATGAGTGCAGCATTTCACTAGCACTATTTGTTGTCTTTTACTCAATATAAACCTGATCATAACTTGCAATTACAAGTATTTAGAGCTCATTGTCATATTTAAACACAAATATTTGTATTGACATATTGTTATATAAAAACATGTATATTTATTTATAAATAAATGTGTATACAAATAATGACATATAAGCCTATTAGTTTTTTATTAGTCTTGCTACCTTTGGCTTGAAGGTAAATGACCAAACTCAATTGAAGTAGCTTTGAAGTACATTTTATCAGTGAAAATCATATTAGAATATTTGGTTCCTTCAGAAATGAAAACTATTACCTGCAGAAGATGGCGGGTGTGGCCCAAACTTATATCCACTGTGACGACATCAGGTCAAGGCTGTCATGACCTTATCTTATCTTATCTTATATAATACAGACGTTACTTCAAAAAAGAAGATGGTTACGTCCTACGCGTCATGCATTTAGTCATGCATATTAACCAATGACTTAAATTTTGCCAAGTCACTGGTTTTCCTGGCTAGCTCAGGCAACCCATTCCATGCTCTAATAGCACTAGGGAAGAAGGAGTATTTGTACAAATTTGTCCTAGCATATCACACATAGGCTCTGTAAATTTAAATTCACACATATTGTTTACTTTAATAATCTTTTATGTGTAATGCACAATTTTAAAACAAATTAATAATGCTGTGACGTGGCAACGAGATATTGGTCTAAACTGCCCACAGGTTGTGACTTTGCAGGTCAGTGTTCAGGCCTTCTATAATGATTGGTTTCAGTCTGACTACCAGACTACCAACCTAATAAATTCAAATCTCAGCTGCCTTGCAGCTATACCAATATTTAAGCAAGGCTTTGAAAGTCAACCCAAAGGAAAAATCTGGAGCCGGGGACCCTTATGTAGTTTGCAGCAGAGGATCCCAAACTGAATTGGCACTTGCTGTTCCTTTGGATACATCAGCTGCACGGAGAGGTAGAAGTGCTGTTTGAGCGACATCGTGCTAAGTCTTCCAACCATAGCTCTCTCTATATATGCTCAGGGCATTCATCTTATTTCAATGAAATGATCCATATAGCCACTGAAAGCCATATGAATAAATGTCTTGGATGACGAGGACCGAAAAAAAAAAAAACGCTGTCGAGTACAGACGTAGATGACGAAAAGAAAATCTTGACCACCGGCGAACAATGGTTATGCTTGGCCTGGACAAGCCTTATTGTAAATATAGGCTATTATATATGGGCCTACAAATTACAATCATGTATTGTATCTTCTTATCTTACATTCACCGTTTTTATATAAATGTAAAAGTTTTTAAAAAAAACTTAAAGAAATATGCCCCATATTTGAAATAGGCTCTACAGTTTCTTGTTATCCTGTTCTTATTGTCAGCTTAAATACACTTATAACCCTAATAACTAAAGAACACTGAACCAAATAAGAGACACCATCATACTCATGAGTACATCATACTCATAACACACTCTCACATAACAAAGGTTACACACAACACTAACAATAGGAGCTTTTTTCTTTCTTTAATTCTTTCTTTCATTCATTCTCTCTCCCTCTCTCTTTCTTTCATTTTACACTGAAAGTTAATCAACTAGGAAACAAAATAGAAGAAGATATGACAAAGAAAAACAGCAAACAATGTCATTGTCTTATAAACACTAAAATCTCAAACGTACAATATGAGAATGTGTACAGTGAGAGTAAAGCGAAACCAAGATTCAACTTAAACAAAAAAATGCAACGGTGTCTAGAACGAACAGTTTCCTGAGCAGTACATTCAATAAAATGTTTATAATAAATGTAATACCAAGCTGTGTTTCTGACACATATATATCTATTACACAGTACTAGTGAGAAACGTTCTAAAAGTGTGAAACGAACATAAAACCAAAAACAAGTATTGTTGAAATGAAAGCAAAACAAACCTCATGTATGCATAAAGTAAAAACAACAAAAACAAAACAAGTAACACACAGACAGTGGCGTAGCTAGGGTGTTTCATGCCCAGTGCGGCTTCTCCTCGTGATGCCCCCCCCCCCCACTCGGATATAAAACAGCGAAAATATGTTATTAAACGTAAACATAATATACTGCAAATAAATATTAGTTGCTTTCTTGGTCGCAAAACTATCAATAATTTATCGAAATCTATGTTTTCCACCAATCGCCTAATCAGTGAAACGCAATTTTTTCATCGTTGAACGGTATTTATTCTTGATCAACTTAATTAAATCTGAAAAAACTTCGCTCTTACCGCAATAGTCAGAAATATATAAAAATCTGTTAATGCTACCTGAAGAGAATCTTGGACAACATTCTTTTTCTCTCAAAGCAGAATCTGGCATTCAATAGGCATCACGAATATTTAGACAATATTTAGAACTGAAGCATCTAGTGGCATTCTAGCGGATATCTTTTTATTTATTTTTTAAACTCGAAATTTCAAACAGGTCCTTGTTTGAGAAGTTCAAATGCTTCTGAAAAAAATGCGATAAACTGTTGTAGCCTCTTTCGCTGCAGACAACTTTTGTTTTTGTCAAAGTCGCTATGAGCACTATCAAGATTGATTTCAATCTGAGGATTCAATGGTTAGGATAGCGACAAAATTCATATTTACCTACCACACCATATGATATGATCATATTATCGGGTGATTATTTTTTGAACTATCACGTCGAAGGAAGAAGAATATTCAAGCCGTAGCTCGTTCTTATGTGTTTATACAGAATCTTCACCTTTTTTGCTTGGCTTCTTTTTATTGTGGCCATACGTCTTTAATGTTCTTTACTAATCCTCAGATCAGAGCAATTACTTTCGCTGAAGGTAATAATGGCTTCAAAGTTGCCCTTTCGATTAATAGTTATTGATGTTTTTGTTTTCCATTTAAGTGCCCAGTCTCGAATTGACGATCCTTGTTTCTGAAGGTAAACTTACCCGTCGTTTATTTCAGTTAATACATGGGCCCAGAATTTTAAAAAAAGAGAGAAAACTAAGACTGCATAGCAACTGTCTATTCGCCTACTTAAGAGATTTTGTCTATACAATTTTTCCTCAACCCAATCGTGATGTAGATTGATGGCCAGATTCTGCTTTGAGAGAAAAGGAATGATATCCAAGATTCTTTTCAGTAGCATTATCAGATTTTTGACTTAAGGACCCTTTGATCCCTGCCGTCAACCATTTTAAGGAGAGTGAACAATTTCTCCGTCTGAGCTAGCACTAGGAGCGCCAACCAGACTTATCAATCTTGAGCCACGTTCATACTATTAATTGTTTACGTGACAGTATTGCAATGAACTAGTTATTGGTGGGGAGAAAAACACGCAAAGAAAGAAATAATTTGAAATCAATTTTCTACTGTCATTGTTTAGTGGTTACTCAAATTTACTTTGCCAAGGAGGTTATATTTAGATGGAGATGGCGTGACGCAACGACGACGGGATATCGCTTCATCGGTTAGTTTGGTTTTTAGTCACTAAAGACTAAACTTTAGTGAGTTAGAGTTTAGTTAATGTTGTTAGTGCCATTTAACCCTAACCCACATTTTACAAACTAAACATTTTAGATGTAGGCCAGAGTTTAATTAGGGAAAGATTAGTTAGTATTATTGTAACATTATTATTAGTAGTAGGTAGTAGTACTCTTTTCACTTCAATTTTATCAATTTTGTGGTGATTTCAGTGCGGTAAAAAGTATCAAAAATATAACAAACCTCTTGCAAATCATTTTTGTACTTTTTTCAGCCCACAATAGTGCTTAATTTCGATGTAATCATTATATTTCAGTTTTGTAGGCCTCGATCAGGTGATCGTATAAATCACTTTACATGCTCTACAGCGCTTTGTAATTGATCCATTGGAATATCTAGACCACCAGATATGAACTTGGGCCTTAGAGGAGTTTAGAAAAAAACATGATGACAAAATACGAGGCTAATTTGAGTCGTTTCGAGAATTAGAAAACTGGTATCGCAATAAAAACGGATGGAATGTTTTGAGTAAACCAATATGGCGAATAGGCTCCGCCCACTGGCTTCAACCGATAATGAACATTTGATAGCAACCGTCATCTCCATCTAAATAAAACCTCCTTGGGTAATACAGTATTTATTTAACTAGCCAACAAATGACTAGCCAAAACAGAGTCAATAATTGGATACCTCTAAAAGTCGCCTGCTGGAATGTCCGCACACTGCAGGACGGCAACAACCAAAAGAAAATCCACTACCGAGGACAGACGTAGACGGCGAAAAGAAAATCTTAATCGACACCAGCGGACAATGGTTATGCTTGCTCTGGAGGTGGCAAAATATGTAGGTCACAGCTGGGGCTGCGTAGGAACAAGAAGTACTGCATTCCTATAATGTTCGGACTCGCAGACAAGCCTTAATATTATTATTATTATCATTAACATTTTAAAAAGCAGTCAAGTTTTTGTTCAAAACGACTAAAACCAAAACTAACCACCCAATGAAATGAAAATAAAATAAGTCACTTACCTAGATCTAGAGTGGTGGCTGCAGAGTAAAGCGGTTAGCTTCCGAACCGAAGGTCCCGGGATAGAATCCTGGTGAAGACTGGGATTTGTCATTTCGGGATCCTTGGGCGCCTCTTGAGTCCACCCAGCTCTAATGGTTACTTAACATTAGTTGGGCAAAAGTAAAGGCGGTTAGTCGTAGTGCTGGCCACATGACATCCTCGTTAACCATGAGCCACAGAAACGGAGGATCTTAACATCATCAGCCCTATAGATCGCAAGGTCTGAAAGGGGAACTTGACTAGTTCTAGATAAACCACTGAACTAAAGAAACAACGTGTTCCATGTGCCCTAGAAGAAAGTAGGCTTGTAAAAGTGCGTTACCTTGAGAGATATAAACAAATCTAGTAAATTTGATTCAAGCTGCTGCTGCTCTATAACTTACATTTAATTTCAGAAAAAACTTCGGAGATTAACAGAATGGCAAAATAAATAAATTGTTAAATCCAATACAGTAGTTTACATTTGTTTATGTATGTACAACGTGCGCAGTTTTTACTGAGATGTTGCATTCGGATTGATGCCTCTCATCACTTGATGCCCCGTTCACTGGCGGATCCAGGGGGGGGGGGGGCGGTAGGGGCGATCGCCCCCTCCCGAAGGGGTGGGGCGGACGAATTT